AGAGAGAGAGAGAGAGAGAGAGAGAGAGAGAGAGAGAGAGAGAGAGAGAGAAATGGCTCTGAGGAGAAAATGATCTAATATGCTCAGGTGTCCATGAGAGACTGAGAGAAGGAAAGAGCGTCCTTGGATAACTGAATGTAAGAAGAAAAAAATAAAGAATAGCAGGGGATTTCTGTCAAATAGAATAAAGATCAGGGAGAGGTGAGGGAGGAGGGGAGAGACAGGGGAGGAAGGGGAAATACTAGGGACGGAATCAGAGCAAATAATATTCCATGATTTTGTGATTTGTTAATTATGTCAAAATGAATCCTAATGTTATATATAACTGAAAGGAAACAATAATAAAAAAAGAACAGGAAAAGCTTCCTTGTTTCTGGTTGAAACTCCACTCCAATCAACCCTCATGGGGACCGGCAGAAATGATAGAAGGTCAAAATAAATAGTAGGTGAACATAATGATGTCTTGTTGGGGCCACAATTTACAGCTGAACATTCATATAGAAAAGCACAGGCACGAGAGAACGAGTAACCAAAACTTCAAAAGGGGGGTGCAGAGAGCAAGACAACTAGGGTGTTTATATGAAATATTAACAGAGCTGTGTTCCTGCACCATTTATGGCTGATCTGAGTCACTGGTGTTTTGCATTTTGAATGGATACATAAAAATGGCACCTATTTATACAGTTCAAGGTGACATTTCAACAGATACATACATTGGGTTATGATCAAATCAGGGTGATTAGCATATCCACCACCTCCACCAGTTTTTCACTGTGATGAGAACATTCAAATGCTCTCGTGTGGATATTTAAAGGTCACAGGCTTGTGAACTCTGCTCATCCTCCTGGACAATGGCCCAGCAGAACTCAATGCTCCTCCCTACCTGTGACTGCAGCCCCTGGTCCACCTCCCCCATCCCTCCTGCCCCCAGTCCCTGGTCCCACTTTCTGTCCACTACTCAGGTGAGATCAGCTTTTATAGAGTATACAGTGAAATCAACTGACATTTGGTTTCCTGGGTAGCAAGCCAGATGAGAAGGAGAAATACCAATTTGAATTGATATGGTCAGGAGCCCTTTAGACAGGACCCAATCTTAATTGTTTCCTGGGCTATCTATTCTGAACTTTGCAATTAAACTCCACAGGCAAATCCCACTATTTTCTCCATAAAGCTCAAATGTGAAGTCTGGGAATAGATAGTATAGGAGTAAATTAAGGAAGGGGCCTGTCCTCATGCAACCCCTGCCACCCTCAGATCACATTCTATAATGCCCTGCACACATCTTTGCAATTCCACCCCTCCACACAGAACCAACCCTGCTGGTGGAAAATCCCTGGGGACATCTCCTCCCACACACATTTCTCACACTAAGCTCTGCCTGCACATCTTGGGGTAGGTCTGATAGAGCACGGTTTCACAGCTTTACTCACCTTTCTGTTGTCATGGCTATGTGGGAATATATGTTCATGACAGAGAATAAAAGTAAACAAAAGAAATTGTGAAATAAAAAGAATGGGAGTTGGGCACAGTGGCTGTGCCCTGTGATCTCAGGGACTCTGGAGACTGAGTTGGGAGATTTGCAAGTTCAAAGTCAAAATCAGCAACTTTGCAAGACTGTGTCTCAGAAGAAAAAACAAATGGCTGGGGATGTTGCTCAATGGTTAAGCCATTCTGTGTTAAATAAAGAATACCTAAAAAAAAGGAGGAGGAGGAGGAGGAGGAGGAGGAGGAGGAGGAGGAGGAGGAGAACGCAGAGGAAATTCAGTGTTTCAAAACAGCTATATTAAACAAACTGAATAGAACATTTGAAGTTCAGTGTAACAATATATATATAATACCAAAAATTTAATTCTATGAGAATGGATTAACAAGAAAATTGACAAATAGGTAAACACAAAAGAATGCAGTAAAGAATATTCCTTGCAAGTTGTGGCATGAAGCCGATATTCAATGCTATTTATAAAATTAAACAGGCATTCTGTAAAAGTGGACAGTTAACATTTGACAAAGTTGTATATCTACATCACCGGAAAAGCTTACATAATTAAATAAAGTCTTGCATCAGTGTCTATCTGGAGGAAATTTAAGTTGGTCCTGTAATTCACATGTAAAAAAAAAAAAAAAAAAAAACGGAGAGAAATTTACAACTTCCACATTTTAGAGTAAGAATACATCTTGTAAAAACAACCATTTGTTTTTCATTTGCATTTCGTGAGGGCAGCAGAACAAAATCATCTAGAATAAGTTAAAGATTCGGAAGTAAGGAGATAAACATGTTTGACTACATAAAATTCAAAATCTTTTGTGGCCAGAAAAAGAAAAATCACTCCAAAAGTCAATATAGAAAAAGAAGTGACTGAAATTTTTCAGTAAAATGTGGATAACTATAGAAAAAAGGCTTATGATAGTAAGTAGCCAATCGAAAGGGTGCCCACCTCAGAGATCCCAAGTGCCCTCTCTTTACTGTGTGGTCCCTCCATAGATGATATGCATTTCTCCTTTCCACCTAATTGGTTGCAAATTTCCAGGACACGTGCTCTACTTACACTGATACCACCCTGAGCCTCCACGCCCTCTTCTGATGGGGCTGCCTTTGCCCTCACCCCATGGTCATCAAGGACCTGGCATTACGGAACTCACTGTTCACTCCTCCTCCCACCATAGTAAACATATCCACCAATGAACTCATCAAACAATGCAGCAAACACCTCAGCAACCTGTCAGGGCTGGGCGAGGCTGGATTGGCTCTCAAGTGACCTTAGGTACCTGTCCTTGGCTTCCAGCCTCTCTGATGCCTTCCTGCAGCACCTGTTGGGCTCTCAGACTCACCTGGGTGGGTTCTGAATGAACAGTTTCTGGGTGGAGAATCAGATCCCTCCCAGGATGCTGCACCATGGAGACAAGCTCTGTCACCAGATGAGGCCACAGGGGGGTCAAGCCACAGTCCCCAAGCCACATGCAGGATCCTGAAGTACAAAACGTGGTCCCATCCTGACCAAGGTTGTGTACAAGCAAAGGGACAGCAGCAGGGGAGAGATTTACAAATGTGTGTCTGCAAATTAGGCTCCTTTGCCTCTTCTTATCCCAAACCTGAGGCGTCAGTTCCCTGTGGAGTATTGCTCCACACCAAAAGTAATTTTTTTTATTGCAGATTCTCTGTTCCCAAGACACCAGGTAAGAAACCAGGTCAATTGGTCTTTACTACTCCCCCAAGAATTCTTCTGCCTTCTAGAGAAATAACATCCTGACACTTTATTCCATTTGTGATATCAAGTTTTCTCCAAAGAATATGACAAAGGAAACTATCATGACCATTGCTCCCCACAGGCTTAACTTGTGTTGGGGACACCCCATCACCAATATCTCCAGAAAATTTTCTATTCCTCTCTTCAACTAGGGGTTCACCAGGATCACTTGATAGATGACTATGACTCCTGCAATCTGTGACTTCATGATGCTTTTTTCCAAAACAACAGAAATTTCATGTTTATCACCCAAGTTAAGAGCTATCACTTAGTCTTGTGTTTATAAAAGAATGGATAATTCAAAGGCATATTTTTACAGATTTTTATATGAAATGCCCTGAGGTTTACACTTTAAAAATTTTTAATTGATTTTATTTTTTAAATACATGACAGCAGAATGCTTCACAATTCTTATTACACATATAGAACACAATTTTTCATATTTCTGTATGTAAGGTATGTTCACACCAGTTCATGTCTTCATACATGTACTTTGGATGATGATGTCCATCAC